TGTCTGAGGCTGGCTGTGAACTCATGTCTTACTGACTCTAGTCCCAGCATTGTATACACTGTGCCACCTATCTGCCTCAACACTAGCCAGGGAAAGGTTCTATAAGTAGATACATTATCTAACTCTTAAATATTCATCAATAAACAAGATTTCCTCAATATCCTTTTTTGCTTGATGTAGAGAATTCTTTGTAATGTATGTTACGATTTCCTCTAATGATAAAATACCTGGCTGAACTTCCATAGGTGATGTAAGATGGGGAAGGTAATTTAAGATCAGATCATGGAGAGCCATGAATGATTGGCTAAGGAGTATGGATTTTTACGTTGAAACAATGGAGAGCCATTGACATATTCTGAGCAAGGTTATATGATCCTGGGAAATGAGTAATTCTGGGTAGATGAGTTTGCTAGTTAGCTAAGAGCTTAACCTCCTTTAGTTTTAGTTTAAAAACATTCGATTATTTTAGATGGAAACCTTTCTAAAATCTTTTATACCCTTTTTTAAAAAAGCATCTTAGGAACTATTAAAATATGTAGAGCTAAATGTTTAATAATTGAAAAAATAGATTTTAATTTGAAAAAAGAAATATGTAAGCCTCTTTGCTTTTAGGTTAAATAGACCCAGGCAGCTGACCTTTTGGAGATTTTTTTCTCATTTAGTTACTTTAGAATACTTCCTATTGTACTCCTTTCCTCTGCTCTAATTTGTTATTTCTAAATTTCTTTGGACTTAGAATCTAGGAAAATGGGCTTGAAGGCCTGGGCACTGTCCTTTAATTCAAGCACATGAGTTTTAATGGAAACATATCATGGCATTTATTTTTAATGCTGTGTACTATGATTAAAGGCCAAAGTGGGCAATACAAATTCCTATGATCTCCAATTTTCTTTTGCTTGCTTCTTAATTTTTGGAAATCTTTTGGATAGATGACATTTTTGGCAGCTGAGTTCCAAACAGGTGAAATATTATTATAATGTGAGTTAGGAAATTTTAATAAAAGACAATTAAAGCAAAAAAAATCAGAGTCTAAAAGGTTAAGAAACATATTATACATATATGTCATATGTTTATATATGTAAATATACTTGTTAATATATATGTAGCAAAACTGTATATGTATATACATATATAATAATCTAACATTTATATTTGGAAATTGATTTAACAATATTATTTTGCTTAATCCTTAGAACTCTTGAAATAAGTGGCATTATTCTGATTTTAATTGACTTGCCCAGGGCCATACAGGTTATAAGTACCTAAGGAGGTATTAGAACCTAAGTCTTCCTGATTTCAAGCCCTCTGCTCCATCTACCATACCATTCTGCCTAAAGAGCTTCAGAAGTCCAGATATTCCAATCAGGGCCTTGAGAATTAGTTTGGCATAATAAAGTGTTGGACTGGAGTAAGGAAGACCTGAGTTCAAATTTCTCCTCTGACATTCCCTGAATAACCAAGGACAGATTCCTTAACCCCTTTGAGCCTTGGATAGCTTTCTATAACTGTAAATTACAGATAGGTGCAATGGGAATACGGATGAGAAAAAGTCTGTGCATTTACATAAATAAGGATGGGAGCAAGATATTAGTCTAGTTCTATCTAACTACAGTTTTCTTATGATCTGTTGGCTTCCTTGTTGTTCCTCACATATCCTACTCCATCTCCTGTCTCTGACCATTTTTACTGGCTACCTTCAATGCCTGGAATTCTCTCCTTCCTCATCTCTAGCTCTGGGCTTACGTCAAGAGTCTGCTAAAATCCCACCTCCTGCAAAAACTTCTTCCTTGTCCTTCTTATTCATAATACCTTTCCTCAGAAACCATCCCCAATTTTATCCAGTAAATATCTTGCTTGTACATAGTTATTTGAATGTTGTCTCTCCATTAGACTGAATTTCTTGAGAGCAGGGACTATTTTTTTTTTGTCTTTCTTTGTATCCTCTTTGCTTACCACAATGCCTGGCACATAGAAGGTTATTAATAAATGCTCATTGACCGACTACTGACTTAATTTTTTTGGAAGATATTCACAGTTAACATAAGTACATCATGGAAACACTATAACATGAGTTACTTGAGTATAGAATGCAGGACACTGCATCTATCTTGTTTTGCCCAAAGGCACATGTTCTGGAATCATTAGAGATTTTTTGTTACAATATGTCCTCTATTATAACACAAACTTATGACATAGACATTGCAGGTAGTGTTATTTCATAGTTCCCATCGATAAGTCCAAAGTATTTATTTGAGTATTCATGGTATGCACTCCGTATATTTACATGGTTTTTCCACCAGTGGTGAGAGCTAAGGTAAACCAAACATTTGTCTGGTCTTTCTTGTGACAAAGTACAAACTTTTCTGGAATGAGTGAATAAGATAAAAGACACCACTTTTTAAATTTTTTAATTTTTTTCTTGGAGATTATATAAAATGGATTATATGATGATTGAAACTTAGACTCATGAATGTACATTTTATAGACATGAAAACTAAGATTGAAAGAGGAAATCCTACCAGCAGTTACTGACAGAATAGAGAATAGGACTGTAGTTATTAGACTTAGTACAGTGCTTTTTTGTTGACTTTGGCCTCAGATTCCCTCACTTGTCATATTTGTATTTATATTTCATCTATACATATGTATATATATATATATATATATATATATATATATAAATAAAGGTACATATATACATGTATTAAAGATATACACATATGTGTATATAAAGATATACATATGCATATATGCACATATTTTCATGCACGCATATATACACATGCAATGCACATGTGCATGCACATGTGCATGCACACGTATACATACATACATACAACTTTTCCCCTCACTCTTAAGACGCTCAAAGCACCTAGTGCTTTAACCATTGTCAAGAATTAGGAGGCTGGCAATTCTTGGTCTATAGGGCAAGGCAAGGGAGAAAATGTAAGGTGGTGCTGGATATTTGTGTCCCCCCTTCCCAGCCTGTAAGGGTCCCCCACATCCTATAAGCTACAGGTCGGATTTCTAGTCACTTTGTCTTTATGAACATCTCCATCACTTTCTTTCCTGAACTCTTTGTTATGTACTGTGATTAAAATGAAACCCTATGCTATCAAATCAAACCATGTAACTACATGAATTCCACAAAAAATAGAGGGGGGGGTGACTCTTGGAGAAAACAAAAGATGGCTTCTATTTAGATATAGTGTAAATTATGATCAGAAATTGAAGGATTCATTGATCTCGAATAATTAGGTCCTTGATTTTCTTTCATTTATCCTACTCTGCTCCTAAAGTAGAATTAACCGTTGGCTTGTAAAATCCTTTTGATGTTCAAAAATTCTTTGTGTGTGCCCTTTTGGTTATTTGCTCAGCCTGAGAGTTATGCTTTTTCATGAGTTGTGAGTGCTGTCACAGAGAAGGTCAAGTCTGCTTAGAAACTAGAGTTTGATGGGAGTTCTGTGTCCCTTGCTCAACTCCAAGTACTCATTAACGTTTCAAACTACAACAGGAAGTTTGTGTTACATTATTATTTAAAAAAAACAACCAACCAACCACAGAAAAAATAAACATCCATAATTAGTTGTCACTTTAGACCTAATAAACATCTGATTATCTGCTAAGAAAGATAGACTCAAGAGCTGGGAATGAGAGATAGGATAGGTGATAGAAATGCTACAGCTAAAATAGAATTGGGATAGTTTTAAAAAGAAAAAAAAAAGGTTGAAGAGCCAACTTATTTAAGAGAATGGAGTAGGTTGGCAGGTCAAGAAGGATGGTAACTAAAACAATCCTGGTAGAACAGGTTTAATTTTAGGCCAACCAGTCTTGACAACAACATCCTCAGAGAACACTGCATCTCTTATCAGCATGATATCACCAACAGAATTATTTTTTGCAAGGCAAGAATCTGATGTTATAGCTGAGATTCAGAGTTTCAAAGATTTATATATCTGAAAAGAAGAAATCTGGCCTTTTTCCTTTTTTTCTTCTTGTTCTTTTCAATCTTCTCACACTGAGAAAAGTGGAATACAGAAATGAAAGTATCACATGACAAATTATCTTTTGCATATTTATATGTTTATGAATTCTGGAAACAGTACCTGTTAATGTTACTTCTGTGCAGTAAATCTTTTAATCTGGGAAGGTGATGAATTAAGATGAGACAGAAATGTGTTTGGCTTAACAGTTCCGTGTTTATGTGTGTGTTTATCTAGATCAAGCTAATTTGCTTTTGAAACTGTTGGTCTGTGCCATAAAACTGCACTAGTTTAGTAAACCACCTTAAAGATTTTAAAGTGCTTTATTTCTAGACTGCATTGATCCTAATTGCTTTATACCTATGCACCTTCAGATGTATTTCTAAGTTTTTTATATAAAACTGAAGCTAACATACAAACATGTCATCTATCATTTGAGATCATTACAAACTAACAATTCAAGGATTATGCTGTCCAGTAACTTTATAAAATTTTGATCTAAAAACAGTGACTTAATATTTGGTACCACTAAAAGACTTTGTCTATTTAAGATGAAATTACTTAAGAGTTAATTTACTATTTGACTTTTAAGAATAAAAAAAATTGAAAAAGAAGATGATACAGAGTGAAGAATGTTGGATTTGGATCAAGAGAATGGTCAGATGTGAGAGATGTAAACACAACATAAGACTCAGCAACTGATTTTATGTATAGATGTAACATGAAAATAGTCATTAAAATATAAATTAAGAGGTCGTTTTTCATTTTTATAATCCCCGTAAGACTTCTTTGTAGGTTTCTCTAGTATCCTGAAAAACATGATTTTATTTATGTGGAATAAATTTATAAACCACTTTTTAGTGCAGCTAGCTATACTGTAAAAGATCCAGCTACATAATTAGGCTATGGAATAAGTATGGATTCTAATCCCACAACACTAATCTTTTAATCTCATTTTTAAGAAAACACTTCAAGTGGCTAATGTTGTACTTTTCTATATTTGTGTATTTGTTATAGGTGGGAGAGTTCCGAGCCCATGCTGCAGAATGGACAGCCAACGTCACAGCTGAATTCAAGGAGACCCGAAGGCGCCTGAGTGTAGAGATTTATGACAAGTTTCAGCGGGCTACCTCCATTAAAAGGAAGCTCTCGGCAGAATTGGCAGTGAACCATAATCAGGAGCTGACCCCATGCAAAAGAACCCTGTCAGTTAACCACTTGACCAGTGAGAAGGACATCCTGCCTCCACTAATGAAGACTGACAGTATTTATCTGAATGGTTTAACGCCTCATTGCCCAGGTGAAGAAATTGCTGTCATTGAGAACATTAAGTAATCCATGGTTGGGATACTGGTTCTTTGGAAAGCCTTGTCTTAACCATGGCTGAGGACTTTGGTATGCTCTTTATAACTGATGCTGTTAGCATTTTTAAAGTGTGCATGAGCTCAAAAGAAAAAACAAAACAAAACACAAATGCCCATCATAGTCATCTACCATCAACAGAAATTGGGATTCTGAGCCAGCACTTTACTTTTGGAGATGCTTGTTGAATAGCACTACTATCTTTGATAGGTAGTGGAACAAGCGATGTCTGATGCCTTTCTGTGCCCAGACTGTTTTTTTTTTCTTTTCCTTATTTTTTTTTCCTAATGTGCCATAAGGCCTAAGAATGAATTCTAATTGTTTATTCTAATTATGTAGCTTTGAGGGATAAGTCCTTAACTTTTCAGGGTCTACCTAACTGAGCCTAGACATGGACCATTTATGGATGACAACATTTTTTTTGTAAATGGCAAGAAATTCTTATGCAGCCTTTTACCTAAGAAATTTCTGTCAGTGCCTTATCTTATGAAGAAACAGAACCTCTCTAGCTGTTGTATGATTTTTCTGCCCCATGACCCCATCCCCTGACCTGCTGCCCTGCTCCTCATGCCCCCAGTGCTCCATGCATGGATACTCTACATTGCTGGAAACAATGTGTGAAAGTAATTGAAATGAGGATACCTGATGAAGGAATGGACAGTGAACAAATTAGATGGAGGTTGGAACAATGCTCAGAAACCCTAGTTTTAAAGGCACTACATTTAAAAGAGATGCACAAATGTCCCCTACAATTAGTTCTCTTCTTCAGGCCCCACTGTAAAACAATCCTGTGTAATTATAGTCTGGCTTATGGAATTGTCAAGTTCCATGGCAAGTTTCATTTTTGTGGTAGTTTTCAGAAATGATCCCATTTATCATCAAGTGTACCTAAAAAGAGGAGAGAATCCACATGTAATAAATTATCTGACAGATGAAAGCACTCAATACTTTATTTTATTTAAGATGATCTTAATTCATTGGTTTTGCTTAACCAAAATGGCAAAAAAAATAATCAAAAATGTGTTTTTGGAGCATTTGTTAATAAAGTTTACCACTAGCATTTTTTCTTTGATGTTTGAAAGGGTTATAATCCCAAGGCCCTACCCCTGCCCCTGGACACAAGACAATGACGTGGCTGCCCCAGGGGTGCACAATCGTTCTACCCTCCAGTGGTTGCTTCCTCGGGGCTATGACTGAAAGGAGAGCAGAAGATGAAACTGGTATCACTGTGACTTTGCACATTGAAAATGTAGACTGTAGGCATAATTCATCCCTGCCATAAGAGAGAGAAAGCTGTTATAGCACAATTTAAATACTGATAGCTCTTTTTAGATAGGAAAGGCTGGTATTCAGAACTAAAACGTTTTTTAGTTACTTTTGTATCCTCTAGATTTGTGGATATTTCTAAGATACAGAAGAAATGCTACAAAGGTACCCAGTAGATTACTAATTTTTTCCTTTATTTTCATATTTAAGCCTACTGTAGATAAAAATAAGTTGAAACAACACGATTGCCTAAAATAAAATTGGAAAAAAATGTATTGGATTGTGTCCAATGAGGCTGTCTTTAAAAAATATTGATGTTACAAATGCCTGTTTTTCAAAAATAAAGATTTAAGCTAGAAGTGTAAATATTCAGTTAACTTGCTGAGGGTACTGTTTTAAATTTAGGAAATCTAACACAAATTTTTTAGGAGGCCAGGCGCTTTTAGAAAGAAAGCTACACCCATTTCCTCAGTAACTGTGTTCTGAAAGTTCATATGGTGAGATACACCTCTTGCCATGTATAAACTGTGAATTGTATGGAAAAAAAATAAAGTTTTTAATTAAAGTCAGTTTTTTGGAGTCTCCTATTTGCTACTCTGATGATGAACAATTAGGTCTGTCTCCGTCCACATAGACAGCCCAGTGAGGTGGGGCAGGCTGCATATGAATGTCATAGTGGTTGAATGGCAAATGAAAGGCACTTAGCAGCACGGATATGCAGATTATATTTAGGAAACATCATTTATCTCCCTTGTTAAATTCTCATGTGTGACAGGTAATCACAACCTGGCAATCCTGTAAGCAGATATTTTAAGAGCAGGATACATGAAAATAAAATAAATTTGTTCTAAGATCTGGTGTAGGATACATTCCTCACGTGAGATTTTTGAACTAATCCAGTTAATTGTGGTTCTGTTTAAATATCTTTCCACTTTAAGGATTGACTATGTTAGATATTCCATTTAGAAAGAAGAAATTTAACAGAGATCAAGCATTTGAAATATGTGTATGTATACATACAAACATGCACGTCAATATGTATGTGCGCACACACACACACACACACACACACACACATATATATATATATATGGACGTGCATGTGTATGTAGGTGTATAGTTACATAATGTATTTATATATGCATATGTATGGATACATGCATATGTGCATGTATTTATATATGTATACAGTGCATATACACTACATATACAACATACATGCACATACCACACATATTCACACATGTATAGACATGCATGGACACCATGCGTACACATCAATACATGTGTGCATATGTATGTTTGCACATGTGTGTGCATGTGCGTACATGCACCCATATGTACGTGTGTGTGTGTGTGTGTGTGTGTGTGTGTGTGTGTGTGCGTGTGCATTTATGTGTGTATGGCTCTTAATGAAACATCATCATTCCTAGAGACCCTTTCATGTTCATCAGAAGGTTGGTCTTCCCTGTCTCCTTGGGATTAGGAAAATTCAAGAAATTTGTTTTATCATTGCATCAGTAGATAATAACCCCAAATTCTTAAATATACTATGCCATTTCATCTTCCATGTTATTATTCTCAAATTTTATAAGAGGTCATTTTCCTCCCTTTGAAGAAACAGAGCATTGATTGACTTACTGATAAATAATTCAGATTGTTCCTTGATGTTTTCTTCTGTTGACCCCATTAGACAAATTCAGTAATACTAAGCAATTCTTACTAGAAACTTACCAAGAATTGAAGTATTATAGTGAGTAAAAATTCAGGAATCCCTAGGGCCTATGTTCTAAGCCTAAGATTTGATGATGTATCCATGATGTATCTCTGTCACATCAATTTTACAGTATTAAATGATAAAAGTTATTTACAGTTCTTTCCCTTTCTATTATTAATAGGGCTGAAACATGATGAACTAAACCCCATAACCCACCACCTCTACAATCATTTATTTTGTTGGACTAGGTTGCAGAATGAGAGGTGGCATTAAAAGGTAGTGGAGAAGATGACAGAGGAATGTATCAATTGAATGGTAAACAATGAAGAGAAAATAAACCCTGTACTTTCTCAGCAAGAAGAGGGGCTACAGGAAAATGGGTGGGGTGACAAGGGGAAGGATTAAAACAAAGAAAAAGAAAGGGAGAAATTTTGATTCAGTAGTGGTAGGCGAATCCCAATGAAGAACATATCCATGGTGAAGAGATATAATCTTTAATGGGAGGTATGGATAATTTCATGGGCATAATCTGTAGGGATTTGACACTCAGAGATACTACTAGCTCTAATAGTATGCTGTGCCTTCATGGACAAGATTCTGTCTCAGGAGAAAGGCAATTGGAACTGGTAGGGGCAAATGGCACCCAAGGTGGGAAAACCTAAATTCTGAGAAGAGATTCCATAGTAAATGGGAAAGTAAATTATTATGCAGAGGGCAAAGAGTAGGATTGGACCCCATGATTAGGGAAGCAGGGAAATTTCTATCATAAGGCAATACTATTCAATAGCTCCCATAGGATCTGATGCTTCTGAGTGAGGCACAACAGAAAAAGGAAGAGATGAGCAAGGTGCACAAGGCAATAAAATAGAATTTGTTTGAAGCCTCTACTCTACATTCTGGCTTCTAAGCATTTTATTTAACTGAAACTACTTTCTCCAAAGTTACAAATGATTTTTAATTGCCAAATCCAATGGCCTTCTTTCAATTCACATTCTACTTGTCCTGCCTGTCGCCTTTGACACTCTCAATCACCCTTTTCTCCTTGAGACTTTTTTACACACTCTAGAGGAGTCTTTTATGACACCTAGTTTTCCTCCTAAGTGTGTGACTGCTCCTTCTCAGTCTCTTTTGTGGAACCTCCATCAGTGTTTCTCATGCTAACCCCCAAGGTTTGTCCTGACCCTTCTTTTCTTTTCCTTCTATATTATCTCACTTGATGATCTCTACAGTTTTGATTCTTGAAAGAAGATAAAAGGGAGGAAATGGCAGAATTTATGGCCTACAGTAGTAAAAATAATTAAAGAATAGGAAAATTTGGATTCATTCATCATCTGTATGTTGATGATTCTCAGATCTGCTTATAAGAACTAACCTCCCTCCTGACTTCTAGCCCAATATCTCTATTGCCCGTTTGACATCTTAAATGGAACATCCTATAGATATCTTAAGCTAAACATGCTCCAAACTGAACTCGTTATCTTTTCCCCAAAATTCTCCTCTCTTCTGAATTTTTTCTATTACTGTTCAAGGGTACTACCATCCTTGTAGTAATCCAGACTTGAAATCTACATATAAGCATTATCTCCTCAGTATCAGTTATCTGCCCTCTTCCCCAAACCCAATATCCAATCTGTTGCCAAGTCCTTCTGATTTTACCTTTGCAACATCTTGGACATGTACGTTTCTCTCACATGGATGATAATAGCTTTTTCATTGGTCTCTCTGCCTCAAGTCTCTCTCTACAACTCCATCGATCACTTAGTTGCTACTCTTTAAGTGCACATCTGACCATGTCATCTCTCTACTCCATAAGCTCTCCAGGAATAAATGTTAAACCTCTTGTTTACCTTTAAAACTCTTCACAACCTAGCACTTTCCTATCTCTCTGCTCTTCTTATACTTACTCCCCTCCACATACTGTAAAATCCAGTGGCATTATCCTCTTTATTGTATCTTGTACAACACTCTGTCTCCCAACTCTAAGCCTTTATATTGGTAGTCTCTACATCTGGGATTCCTTCCCTCCTCATTTCTGCCTCCTAGCTTTATTCAAGTACTAGCACAAATCCTATATTCAGCAAGATGTCTTTCCCGTTGCCTCTCAGTGGTAGTTCCTTCTTTCTGAGATTACCACCGATTTACCTTGTAAGTATTTTGTATATACATATTTGTTTGCATACTATCTTCTTCCTTAGAAAGTGAACCCCTTAAGGACAGGAACTGTTTTTTGCCTTTCTTTATATCCCCAGCACTCAGCATAGTGTCTAGCCTGTAGCAAATGCTTAAACACTTGTTAACAGCTACGTGATGTGGGATGGTTGATCAATGTAGAATGAACAAGAAGAAAGATTCCAAAAGATCCATGATTTCTTCGGGGGTCAGTACTTCTTTCAATACAAATTGCAACACTTTCATGACTCAGGAGTTGGAACTTTATGAGTTCCTGTGTCCAAAATAATTTGTTATTTGGCAATGTGACTTTGCATGCTTAGCTAAGATGCTTCTGTGATGACAGAGTAATATAGTCTTTCTCCTGGCCCATACTAGAAACTCACCCTCCACCCCAGCTCTGTAGAACCTACCAGGACTCATACTCCACTGAGTTAGCCATTGAGAGCTAATAATTGTCACCATGCCATGAAGCTTCTGGTGTGGTAAAGGAGAAAAAGAAATGTAATGAATGAAAATTCAGACTCACTTCTCAGAGCTATGTATTTTTTTTTTCATCATATGAAGTTCTAATTAATGGTCTGCATGCAAAGAGAAGAGGATAATATTGACTGACAAAGCAGAATTCTATATTCATGTTTATGACTTTATTCCACTGTACAAAATAGTACATTAAGTTAAAAATACACATTCAGAAAATAATTTATATTCAGTGACCAACTGTTATATTCTCTGCCTGAGATGAATATGCAATATGCAGCCTGTTTCTTTCTTTTTGTATGTTTTTTACAAATACCTCTTTAAAATTTTTCCTTTGAATACTTAAACCAATCTTAAGGGGAAAAAAATCTTCAAAAATATCATTATGTATGTGCCCAAACTAGAATCATAAATCTTTAGAGCTGGTCCAGTCCGTAAGGACATTGAAGTCCAGAAGTATTAAGTGATTTGCCCAAGGACAAAATCTGCTTTGAGAAAGCTTAATGTGATCATTAGATAACAAGCAAGTTCAGAGGCATTTTGTCTTTCTACTATCATTTCAGATGATAATGTTTTTCTAGCACATCAATCTGGAGATAGTACAAGTGCGCAAGAAGAATGAAGGAACTGTTCTTTTTTGGGTGGTGCTGAACAATTATGGGAAAATGTTCATGTAAATACAGAACATCTATATTTCTTCAGTCATGGCAAGTGGGGAATTTAGGTTACACAGTGTTACCAGGAGATTACTGAAATTGAGTGGAGCTTTTTCATGCTTTAAGAAGACATAAGAGTGTTCTAAGCAGAAACTGCATGTCACAGTCACTGTAGAACAGAGTTTCTTAACCTTTTTGTGTGTCATGGGCTCCTTTGGCACTCTGATGAAGGTTATGAACCTCTTCTCTAAATAATGGTTTAAATGCATAAAGTAAAATACACAAAACTACAAATGGAATCAAAGGCTAGGGAAAATAAAGATGTAATTTTCCCCAAAGTTCATAGACCCCTTGATATCTAACTGCAGACCAACAATATGGTACCTAAGTTAGGAACTCTACCTATAGAAGATATTTATGCTGTATATGCAGTTTGGACTTCTAAAGTCCTGTCCAACTGTAGGAATCTATGAAATTCCTTCCTTAGTCTTATGTAGAAATTTGCCGCTTACAAAGGAAAATGACTAAGTAATCTTTGGAGGAGGTG